ACTGACACTCCACTTCAATGTTATAACCTAAAATCTGGAAAAACATAATTTTCCTGAGTTATGAAAAATCCAGAAAATAATGCATTCATATGCTAAGAAGTATCTTAACACATTTGGTTATTCTCATTTAGTCTTAGTAACAAAATGAATATACACTTGTAATCTAACAATTGTGCTGGCATAATATAACTGTTTCACAAAATCATACTAATTTATTTACTCTGATAAATTGTTTAGGGTAAGAAAATGATTGAGATAGTAAATTTTTGAACAATTTAAGGTTCTCAGGTTACCATTTAGTAGAAATATTACATAATTGATCTATCACTTAAACAATCTCTCAAATAAAAGTACTTTAGTTAAAATAGATTTTAAAGAACATTTGAGCATGTTTTCTTTTAAAACCATTCATTGGACATTAATTTTCGAAAATGAAAGCAATGTACTAGGAAAACACTCAACTTTCTATCATTCTCCTTTAAATATGTGACTGATGCTTTTTGGTTAAATCACATAAGGAATCAATGCTTTAAAAATAATTTGGGGAGTCAGGTGGCCCCAGCAACCATGCTGGGGTTGGGGACCTCTCCCTGCCTGAGTCAGGCAGTTGCCTTGGGCATCCCTGGAGCCCATGGTGCTGGCAGTGAGCTTTGGTGGCTTGGGGGTGTGGATTTGCAGGGGCACTGGGGGATCAGACATGGTGGAGCTGGGTGGGGGGCTGGTGAGTGATGACCTGAGGGTTAATGCCCAGGTGAGGAATCACTGCTGAAGGAGTTTTGTGGTTAAGGCTATTGTACACACAGGTGCATACACATGTGTATGTACAGATGAATATACACTGTACATGTGAGGAGCTGAGACCAAATGGCTTGTAGGGGGACACAGGAGAACCTTTAAGAGTCAGACCCAAAGTACCAGGACATGTGGGAAACCTGAGCTGGGGTAGTTAGCACAGACCATCATCAAGTGGCATACACTAAAGCTAATGCTGGTGCCTACTTGGCAGGGCAAGTTCACCCACCAGTAAAACCCACCAGTAAGTCAGAACAAGGGATGGGTGATGTTAGGATGGGCCATGACAATAACCAGTACATGAGAATCAGGTCTAGTAGCAGAATCTGTGGGGGACATGTAGGCTCACCCCTGTGGAACTGCAATCTCTGCTTGGCACGCCCAAGAGCTGTGGATGGGAACAGGCCTAGCTGGGGAGCTAAGGAGATGCCCCAGCTGGGTTGGAGTTTCCACTGGTGATCATGGGAGCTGGATTGAGGGCAGTGGGCTGCACTGGATATGGCTACAACATCCCTTGGTGCAGGTGTGAGCGGGATCTGAGAAGCAAAAGACCGGGCTAGACTCCAGCACCCACTGATACTTGTGACAACAGAGTGAGTGTAAAATGGGCTGGGCTAAGTCTTAAGTCCTGCTGAACCATGCAAAAGCTATGTCTAGGTGTGGACTGGATGTGGCTGCGCTGCGACATTTAACAGAAGGAACCAGAGTGGGTGTGAGCTGGTTGAGCAAGGCCACTGTTTCTGCTAGGACAAGAGGTGGACAGAGTCAACCTGGGCCAAGAACCCACTGGTGCATGTGAGATCTGCCACTGGGAGGAGGCCCAAGAGAGGAGCTTGGGAAACTCCTTCATCGAGACTCAGTCCCTGCAGGTGAGTGCAAGAACCAAGCAAACAGCATACCAGACCATACCAAGTTACAGTACCTGCCAGCATACACACAAGACTGGGAACAGAATAGTCTGGGCAGTTCATAACATCCACTGTCAGATCTGAGAACCAGGACAGGGTGCAGGAGTGGTCAGGTCAGGTCAGGCCACAACACCAGCCATTCATATTAGGACCAGGGTGCTAGGCTGGGCTAGACTACAGTACCCACCAGCAGGAGCTGGAATCCAGGATAGGCTGGACTCAGCCAGGTTGTGCAACGCGATAGTGGATGCTGAGGTAAGGCAAGCCATGCCAGCCTGGGGTCAGTGGGTATCAGGTTAGTGAGCCCTGGTGGGGGCAGCGCAGGATCTGTAGGGGCTCCTGTCACCTGGCCTGGGTCCGTGTGCCCACCTGTGCATTGGGTGGCAGGTTCATGAGCCCCAAGTGCAGGGATCCAGTAGGGCTTGTGTCGCCTGGCCTGGATCCTGGGTCCTGCCTGTGCATTGGGTGCTGGGTTCATGATCCCCAGGGAAGAGGATCCAGTGGGGCTCGGGTTGCCTGGCCTAGGTCCTTGAGCCGACCTGTGAGTAAAAAAGGTGGAGCAGTGGATACAGACCATGATGTACATGGAAAATATGGCAGCCCACTGGGTACTGTGGCAGAAGAAGGAGAACAGAACAAATTGGACAGCTACCCCAACCAAACGGAGACAGCAAATATCTGGGCGAATGGAGACTTGAGGTTGATTATGTCAGCCAATGGACATTGGGAGGGCTGCCTCAATCCTTGGATTGGCAAAATCGACACATTTCAGAACTATCCAAACCACCTGGGCAGAACCCTTAGAACATGCATCAAGAGAATGAGTTGATAGCAGGTGGTGGTTCCCAATCCCTGGGTACAGGACATTTGGGAGGCTGGCTGTGGCTTCCCCCTTTATCTCTCCCCTTCCCCTAGAAACAATAAAAAGAAATACAAGATTTGGAAACAATGATTTCACCCATTTTTTCTCTAACCCTTGATCCTTTTCCATACTGATCAATCATCATCAAGAATTTTTAAAAATTTTTAAAAATAAATGTAATCAATATTAAAAAAATTTTTTGACAGCTCATATAAAATATTGCTATCCAAGTACTGTGCATAAAGCAAAAAGCATCCACTTCACCTGGCAGCCTGTTAGAGATACAAGCACAAGCCTTATCATCTACAACTGCTAAATTATCATTTGCACTTTAACAAGCATTTTAGAGATGCTTTAAACACAGGTTCAGTTTTAGAATCATGCTGGAAAATAATTATTAAAGTCTGCCTCTCCAAATATATCATCACTATTTTTGTTTGAACGGACATAAAATCAGAAAAGGTATGCATTTAATTCTCATGTCTGAAAAGCATTTTAAGAGATGCAAAGTAAAACTGATCAAAAACCTCTTTCATTACACGAACATATTAAATGGTAGAATTATATTATTTCTCATTCACTTATCAGTATTTCCCTTAAGACTTAATTTTTTGATGGCCTTAAAAATACGGTATGCAATTGACCACTGATACTTTCTACCACTGCCTCTATCTACAATATCATGGTACACTTAAACACCAGAATGATGGGCTTATGACTGTTGCTGAAGGTCTATACTATTTTAATAATGGTGGTGGGGAAAAAGGGGAGGGTGGTGGGGGAAATCCCTCAGCCTAAGGCACTGTACCATGAACAATAAGAATTAGAAAATTCACTACATCCCTTTTAAACAAATCAGTCAAATGTAAACTACAAAAAAGTTTTCTAACCAGAGTGAAGACTGTCACTAAAAACAAAAGAAACCCTAAACTAAAAATGATAAATGAGAGGTAAACTCAACCCCCTCCACTTGTCTAGGAACTAATCATGTGTTCTCACTTTAATTCATCCAGTCTAACACCGTCAGTTTTCCACATGTGCACAATACTGAAACTATGAAGGGTCCTGCAGTTGCTGTAGGGCGGAAGCACTGCATCAGAGTCAATGGGGCACAGAGTGCTTCTCCCTGATGGTGGTTAGAATTCAATAAAGCACAGTTCTTCACACTCACTAACCTGGCACCAGGATTCATATTCTTTTGGTCCATCTGTTTCCTCACCCCAAAGGACTCCCCACTAGCCTTTATCACCAGTTTCTCACTCGCCCTCAAGTCAATATGATTAGAAATAGTTTTCTTGCTTCTATGCCTTTCAAAAGCCGAGCACTGGAGAAACATGCTAAACAGAGCCCCAGTGAAGAGGCCAGCGCACAGGTGCTTGGGGAAGGCCTTTCATTTCTGCTGAAGCTGTGGATCATGCACACACTGCATGCCTTAAAGCACACACTCAGCCATGATCACGAGTGGCTATTTCCTCCTCACCAACATTCACATCTTTCAGAGTACAGCTAGGGAGCTTAATATAGAGTCACATCATTGTTTTAAGTTCTTAGCAAAGAAGCAAACAATTTTTTGATGAATAACAAATTTTGAAGCACTGCAAGTGTAGAATGACAAAAGAAAACTGAAATGCACTAATTTATGTTTAAATAAACAACTGAGACCAAACTGAGGCAAGGGGGAGAACAAACGAACAGGAGAGGAACATTAGATGAAGGAAGACGAAAAAGAACATGGAAATGGGAGAAAAGATTACAACAATCTTCAATTATGCTAAGATTAGTGAAGTACAGATGTCAATACCCGGTCTTTTGAGTCATAAAGACCTGGCCTTGAATGGTTTAAATTCAACTTTGTTTTAGTTTTCTTGCTCAAAAATGTAGACAATTATAGGGCCTATTCCTTGGGCCTGTATGAATTTGAAAAACACTTTAGTGCTTGACACACAACAAACACTCAATGTGTTTTGGTATCTGTGTCTACCTGAAGCTGAGTGCTTATCACATTTCGAGAACTTTCCAAAGCATTTGAAAACATCCTATCCATCAAATTTACCCTGTATGTGCTATCTTACATATGTGTATAATGGATCCTATTCATCTTTCTATCCACCCAATCACTTCACATACAGGTAGGAAAACTAACATGCAAAAGATCAGATCTACTGCTTAAGAGCACAAAATTTACTAGTAGAAAGGCAGAAACAAAACAGTGGGCCTATGGGTTCCAAAGTGGTTAAATGATAGCCACTTTCTGTCAGACTCAAGGTAATTTTTAATGCACACTTATTTTTCCCCTTTGAGTTCCAGATCAGATAGTCTAAAAGATTAAACTTCTTGAAAAGCAAATTAAATCTTTTTTTTTTGGGGGGGGGACATGAATGTCAAGAAAATGCACATGAAAAGCAAAGGTGCTCACAGCAAGCTGCCTCATGACTTACCTGGTCCATTAAGGAAGTCCTTGATGTGCAGCGTTAGGAGGGAAGGTGGGATACCACTTTTGCTGTCTATTTCTCCAGGAACTGTCTGCAGCCATACAGTAGTGTAATCAAGGGCTTCAGGCAGAGTCTTCCCAGGATCTAGAGTCACAAAATGAAAATAAAAGGCATCAGCTCCATCACAAACTTCCCATTCTGGTATCAGAGTGTGAGCTGATATGCAGGAGAAAAAAATGGTTCAATTACTGCTTGCGCCCTTCACTGTTTTACTTGCTTATACACATACAGAACACAAGTACTTCCAACAGAAAAGGTAGAAACTATCTCTGCACAAGGTGGGATGATGAAACCAGGATTTCTAGAACCAGGCCCAAAGCAGAACAGACAATTCAAATGTTAACTTGTGTCCACTTTGGGTAAACATAGTTTTTACACTGTGAGCTGCTGTTTCATAGTTCACCTTTTTTTTTTTTTTAATCTGATGTTGGAACTAAATTAAAGAAAAAAGAGGCAAACTTGTCAGCTTTAAAAGGTATATACAGGTTCAAAGACGCAGCGGATTAGCACTACTTAGCAGTTACTAGATCTGTTTCAGAGTTTTATTGACCTTACAGTCCCTTTTTACTGCTAGGCTTTTGAAGTTAACTTCAGTAGCCTTCCCATTACCTTCTCAAATGATAAAAAGTGGTCAGTTTCTTAATAGAACCAATTATGACTACAACTTAAGCTTTTCTGACTTGTCATCTTTAAAATTGTTTTATGCTTCTTTCGGACAATATTGTATATTTTTAAAAATAAGGTTTCTTGATTGTTGGTGATAGCAAAGTGAAATTACTTTTTAAATGCTTGGGAATCCATGGTTTTACTGAAACAGCTCTTTAAATGATAATAATAAAAAGAAAGCCTGCTGTATCCTGGCATATAGTATAGTAGGCTTTTTAAAAACATCCAAATATTCACAGTTTTTCCTTAGTTTCATGATTGTTTTACTCTGTGTTTTAATAGCCTCTGAATGTCAGCTTTATAGAGATGTTCTTGCCATGCAGTTCATCTATTCCATTTTCAGTCTATTTGAAATGTGTGATTAAAGTGTTATTTATTTTAGCTTTTATTGACTGGACTGCTTTCAAGAATAGCATTTACATAGTGTATTATATTCAACATATGGTTATACAGTATTACTGTCATATGTGAACTGAGCACATAAATTTTGCCTTGGAATGTGTATTCCTTGACCTTATCATGTGATCCTTATGAATTTTGGCACATATGAACCTTTATGTGATTTCAAAGAAAATACTGAAAGCAATTGATCGTGACGTTAGATCTATGTGGTGAAGATCAAAAACTAAGCTAGTGCATTCTTCCCTTTTTATATGATCAGTGAACTTCAGGCAGTGAGAATATGCATAGAAGACCCACTACATAGTAACACGATCCTATTTTTTCTTTTAAATACAATGGTCAAGTACGGATGATAGCAGTCTGTTCCTGGTAGCATCTATAATTGGTTTATAATTTGTAATTGGTAAACTGACAGGACATAGATTCTATTTCTACAATCTCATCTATGCAGGTGGCTCAAAATTAGCTATTAAATCATGTGCTACTATGCTTGAGCTACACAAACACATTTTCATTTTGAGGAGAAAACAACACAGAAAACATTGATTTAACATACTAAATGCTGAAGAGAGATTAACTGATGTAAATATCTCAATGTGATACATAAAAACAGCAATTAAAATCCAGGATTAGAAGATGAGTGATGGACACAAGGAAGTTGGTTTGGTACTGGGTACAAAATTTGACAGGTGGGGTAACTTCCTATATCCTATAGCACAGTAGGGTAACTATGGCTAGCAACCATATTCAAAACAGCAAGCACAGAGAACTTGTAATGTTGCTAATACAAAAAATTAAAGATGTTACATACAGGTGATGGTTATGCTAATTATCTTGATCGTTACATATTTTATACACATACTGAAATGTTGCACTATACCCTACAGATATGAACAATGTTTATTTATATGTCCATTACAAATAAAAATATATTTCTAAGAAAGGGTGACAAAGTTACATGGATTATATACTTAAACATGTACATGTTTAGAAAAATTGTTACCCTTATGACATTTTAAAAATGTAATCTATTTTGTAAATTTTCTTAGGAATATGATTCCGAGCAGCAGGTTAACATATACTTAGAGAATATAAATATACTAACTACTATATTGTATACTGATGACAATACCAGTAAAACTAAAAGAATACAAGATTCCCAAAATGACCATATAAAACTTTCATGAAAAGGCTACCATAAACATAGTAAAAAGTCACAAAAGCACATGATACATTGCAAAAGGCATATATCTAATAAAAAGACATCAGAAAACTCATGGAAAATGTGTAGTATGAAAAAGGTATGCATGGACCTAAAACTTTGCAAAACAAAGCATTTCCAACAACTGTTAGTATCTGCATATAAAGATACCAACAGAAAAATCAATTGATAAATGAAGAAAAACAAATGGCATAAAATATCTCAAAATATAAACATTAAAATACACTGGATTTTAGTAATAAGAGATGAGGCAAATCTATTAATGTTAGAATGTTTCACCTCTCAGACAAGACTAAAAAATCCGTTATTGTCTCTGTTGGTTGCTTGTGAGAACAGGCACTCACCCAACGGTGGAAGGCCTTTCTGGAGGTTAACTGTAATATACAACATGTTTTACATGTGCAACATCATATGATCTAGCTAGTTATTGTGTATAAATTTATTCTAAAGAAGAAATCAGAAAAAAGTGTAAGCACACACTCACTGTTCAAATATGACAGAAACAAACTAACCCAGATATTCATCAATGGATTAATTTTCAAATAAACATATGGCATTCCATACAATGTTTAAGGGCCAATCTGCTTGAATTGGCATAAAACAGTCATTTTACATTATTAACAGTGAAACAAAACCAAAGGGCAGGTGCAGGATTTTCATTCACTGGAAGTTCAGGACTCCTCCCTGGGAATGCACCTGTTCCCTCCTTTTCCCACAGAATTGTTCTCAGTGATTTGTAGAAGCACCTTCTAGATTCTGAGCACTCAAGGCTTGATCTGCTGCACGCAGCCAATGCTTCTGCAGGTGTGCCTGCTGTCCTTTAACTGCTACACCACTTGTGGTCTGCATACTTTTAAAAATAGATATGGCCAAAAAATCCTATTCAATGAATTTATCCTTAGGTTACCATATTCTTCTGAATAGTTTCTTAAAGCACTTTTAAGACTTTTTCAAAGCTGTTTAATCCTTTTAGAGAACAGCAAAAAATGGGAAAAATCTCCTTACTCATACTATGAAGCAGGATATACACATTAAAAGAAGAAATTTGGTAAATAGCACAAAGTAAAATGACTGATAGCAACTTACGTGGTAAGGAGGAGGCATGGATCCTCCTATGTTTGGTGGCTTAAGTGTGAACATGTACAATGTTGTCGGAACAAGATGGACAATTTGTAGAATTCCATTGTAAAAAAAATTCACAAATACATAAACATCCAAAAAGTTGACTTCAGCATCAACTGAAATACTAAAAATCTTGGAAAATAAAACTAAATATCTATAGAAAAAAGGTAAAATAAATTGAAACTACATTATTAATACTGCAGAGAATACTATACAAAAGGCTGGAACAGATTTTCTTTTCATTATTTTGTTTTACATTTATTTTATTTTCATTGGAAAGTCAGATATACAGAGGAGGAGAGACAGAAGATCTTCCGTCAACTGATTCACTCCCCAAGTGACTGCAATGGTCAGAGCTGAGAGTCGATCTGAAGCCAGGAGTCTGGAGCCTCTTCCGGGTCTCCCACACAGGTGCAGGGTTAAAAAGGTTTGGGCCGTCCTCATCTGCTTTCCCAGGCCACAACCTGGGAGCTCGGTGGGAAGCAGGGGCTACAGGGATTAGAGCCGGCAACCATATGGGATCCCAGCGTGTGCTATGTGAGGACTTTAGCTGCTAGGCTACTATGCTGGGCCCCTGACCTAGACCTTCAAAATGGATTGTGTGAATAAAACAAAGTAGGCTGGGAGGATCAGTGAATTCAAATATAAACAACTTATCTGCATATACATGATAGATATGCATCCGTTTGAAATTATTGAAGGATGATCACTTTTGTCATGATCCTAAGCATGCACTGATAGATGGCCAGGAAGTGACTAGCCAAGACTGAAGAAAAACAGGTCTATTTATTAATCATTTTCAAAAATAAAAGAGTAGGGAAAAAAAAGAGAACTTCCTGGGTATTTGAAATCCCTTGATTTTCCTTTACAAGGAACAAAACTAGGGACCAGAGAAGTTTGATAATACGAGTTTTGCAGTCAGGTGAGGCGGATTTAGTGCAGGTGCCTATCTTGCGGCTGAAGTTAGAGGGATCAGCTGGCAGGAGTCTTTCCTAGAGCAGTTACAGAGGGGAGATGATTTAATAGGTGATAAAATAAACCAACTGGCAGTAATAGAAAACAGAATACGAATTAAGGATTAAAATTAAGACAACTATAAAAGTTGTTCTAACCAAAGCAGCCAACATTTCAGTGAGTATTTCCCAACAAAATGTTAGGCCAGCCAGTTTTAAAAATATTCCCGAATTTATAGGATCGACAAAAACAGAATAATTTGAATGGGGGTTTTATCCAGAACAATAGAGGTTGCATGGCTGATGATAAGGCATGTGGCTTCTTTCCCAGTTTTGACTAACATCCCAACTGAGGATAAGCCTGTGCTCGGGAGTCACTGTGGCTAGACAAAGCAGCAGTAGCAAAAATGTATGTCAAAGTCCCAAAGACATGCCTGGGGTTCCAAGGCAACCAGTTAGTCTCTCATGCTCTAGAGTAAAAAAGATGACTACTAAACGTCCTGATAGTTGAACTTTTCCCTAATTCCATCACCAAGACAGTGTTAATACGACACATTCCTTAGGGTCACTATACCTGGGAAAACACTAGACAAGCTGTTAAAAGCTTGTAAATAAAATACATGTATAAACAGAGCAACAGATTATCGTAAAATGGTAGAAACTTGTTCATACTTCTCCATATTTAGTAAGCATCCAATTATACAAGTCCAATAACTCTC